GTTTATAACATTTGTAAAAATATTCAAATAAAGGTTTGCATAGCTATTTTAGTATTTATAATCTCTTTTTATAGTTAGTTTTTAAATAATTGATTCGGTTCAAATTAATTTTATATCATTATAATCAATAGAATTATTAGAATCATAATGAAATTATTTACAACATATGTCAAAAAGCTATGGCTTTTTGACAAATATCAAATTTAAATTTGATAACAAATTAAATAGGAATCACGTTTTTGGATGTACATCATTTTAAAAGATATTAATACAAGAAATACTGATATTTAATAAATGCAAGAAAACGGCAATGCGCTAGTTATACCAAATATGTGAGCAAAAATATATTACTAAATTTTTGAACATATTATATTTTATGCAAAAACAATAAATTATTTTTTTAGAAAATAAAAAAATTATTAATATTGTTAGCTACTGTTAATGACTTAAAGTTACGAATTTAAACTACAATAATTATGAAAATTGCATAAGTATGAATTAAGTAGAATTAATATTAAAATACAGGAGTATGGAATGATGTTTCTTTTCTGGAGAACATTTTTTTAAGGAGTGTAAAATTACAAATATACACATCTATAAAGCTAGAACATTCGTAATATGCGAAAGAATATTTAAAATAATCATTCATCAAATATTGGTGTTGTGAAAGACTTAATTGTACTTAATTGTTTAATAAGCATCACAGAGCAATGTACAAATTGTGTCAGTACATCGCATATATAAATGTTCTGCATTTTTGAACAAGACACAATTTTATCATACTATATTTTTCATTTAATGAGATGCCACATTTATTTGAATAAATAAAACTTTTTAAAAATGATCTTCATCTGATGAATAGGAATTATTAGATGTTTGTAGTCATTATAATGTAGGATGAGTGGAAGGTGATTCACTTTCTTCATCTTCCTCTAATTCATCATCTGTATCTGAAGATAAATGTTCTCTCAGAACTAATGAACGCATTTGTTCTAATACCTGATGTAAAGAGTCTCTTTGTTCCATTCTATCATTTAAAGGTGTAGCATCACCACTTGCTGTTCCACCAGCAGGTGTTTGTGGTGTATTACTTGGGGGTACTGGAGTATTTGTACCATCTCCTGTGCCTTTGAACATAAAGTTATATTATCCATATATATAATGTTAACAGACATCACAAAGTTGTTACAAGAGGAATTAAAACTTCAACAGGCAGCTAGTTATTTGTAATTAGTAATCATTATACCCATATCATCACTCGCAGGACTGGCTGGCCTTTCTGCTCCCCTCACTTCTCTAGTGATTTCTTCATCTTGATTATTTAATCTTAAACCTGCAACTCCCTTTTTTGGTACATTATATAAATCACGTTTAATTTTTCTTCGCCTAGATGGATCATTTCTACGTAATTGAAGCATGGAACCAAAGTCAGCAATATAAAGAAATCCTGCGATTAATAATTCACAATTTCGTTTGCCTTGTTTATATGCAGTTTCTAATTCATGACTTGTACGTTGATCATATTGCCACCAACCTGCAACAATGTAATTCAAAATTACACAAATTACGTTATCCACGATACAGAGGAGTCAGAATAATTACGTAAATACTAAGTGTTTCAGCTGGGGAATCCACAAAGAAAAATAACTTATATTCTGGAATACAGAAGTTTTATTACAAATATACATGGAAACTAAATTGTAATCTTTTCATAACAAAATAATAGAAATTCTTATACTTTTTATGCCATACAATGTTTTACATGAAAGTTTATAATATGTTGCATAATACTATACATAATTTTCTAAATAGTTATATGAGGTACGAATACAATCAAAAACACTTTATGCCAATTTTATTTAAAAAGGTATAAAATATGCAAGTTATTTTATTCCTGAAACACCTTTGCACGGTGCATCTTTTCTATCACGCTTAATATTACGTTTATAATATGGTTGATGTTTCCTATATTGACAATTATTTTTAAAGTCAATTACATAAAGCATGCCGCAAATTAAAATTTCACATTGGGCGCTACCTAGGTTGTAAATAGCCTCCAAATCCTGGCTGGTCCTTGAATCATATTTCCACCAACCTATGAAGGGGTATGACATAAACTCTATACTTCATCACACGTTTTTAACAAACAATGAAGTTATTTACTTTTTATCTTCAATGTTCTAGTAACATTGATTTTGTTCACAATAAAAAATATATTACTTAAGTTTTATAATTTACTGATTTAATTTGTTTTTATAAATTTGTTTATAACATTTATAATACACTTTTATTTAAAGATATATTTATATCTAATGAACCGGTATTCAAAAAATCATCTGTAGCTAAAAAGTAAAAAAGATTTATATAGTAAAAGATACTCTACCATTTCTGCCTTCATAAAACCACTGATATTCTTCTTCAAAATGTTCCGATTCTTTTTGTGCTTCGTCTACTTCTACCAGTTGTGGTCTATTAAGGAAATCTGGAGGAATTTCTTGACGACACATAGGACATCTTTTGCTTTGATTTGCAACACCTTTGACGCACAGGTAACAATATATATGATTGCAAGGTAATCTTGCAGGATATATACATGGTTGAAGACAAACTGCACATTCGAGCACTGTTGTTAAACCTAGAAAAATTCAATTGTAAATAATGAAAACAATTGTTGTTTGAACAATATATGTAATACTTTTCAATTGCAAATAAAATATAATTACTTCAAACTGAACAAAATACTTTACATGAATTGTTATGAAATTCATTAGTATTAGCATATACAGTAGCTTAAACAGTAACAAGAATGATTGTCTTATATTGGGAAATTACAAAAACATACCTTCTTTCTCATCAGTTTCTTTTTCTTTATCGTTAATCGTGCTACTTGTTTCTTCTTGTGAGTTAAGTTTTGCTTGAGCCATAATTCCAAATAAAGCTTAATTCTTCATTGAACAAGATCAAAAATCTTATAAATAGAAACATGCATCATGTCAATAGTTGCAGAGTTAACAGAACGTGTAGGAACGTAACTTTTGTTGTTTATGACATTTCAGCGGTTCTAAATTCTAAATACAAATGACTCGATGTTTGAGAACCCCTTATATTCATTGCTTACTTCACACTGAGAAAGTTCCTATTCAGTAATATTTCTATGTTCCAATATATATATATATATATATTACATAGATCGTAATAAGGATTTAATCCTTAAAATTTAAATCTGATGATTTTTGTTTATTATTNGAAATATTTTTCTCTTATTGATATTGTTGGTTAATTATTTATAAATAATAATTAGTTGATTTTTGGTGAATTTTTATCTGAATATAGGTATTTGAAACAGTTTGTATGGTATAAATATTTTTTAATTATTATTTATGGGTTTAACAAATTGATATTTAATATATGTACGTATCTATGTATGCATTTTTCTGTCCATGTTATGTGAGAAATTAGATAAGATTATTGACAATATTTAACTTGTATCAATTTTGAGATTATTTATATATAAATTATATTATTTATAATTTAATCGATTATGCTTAAAAACAGATAATTTTTATAATATTGTAGAAATTTTTTGTTTAATTTGAAATACAAAAAATGAATATATTTTCAATTTTTATAATACTTTAATATAAATTAAAATGTTGCATTATAAATTTATTAATCATTTATTTCAACTATTAATTTTTAATTTCGTAGTACTGAAAACTTTTTATATTAAATTATTTTGGATTGCACATTTTTAAATTTGTACTTAATTACAATGTTTCTCTTATTATATTGTATATGTATCTGTACATCATTATTCAGATACAATTTTTTAATAATTAAATATGAAAAATACTAATTCCATATATTGTTATTTGAAAATAAAAATTATTTCTTTTTAAGACAAATTTGTTTATATTTGTTATTATGTAGTTCTAACATATGTATCTGACATAAGTAATGAATGTGGTAAATGAGGAACAATGTTGATCATGCTGTAAGATACAGCACGCAAATTAGTGTATTTGATTTTTATTGAATGATGGATTTAAGATAACAGTTATGTGTTTAAAACCAATCTCAATATAAATACAATATAAGTACATCTATATACAAATCGTATGGCTTAGGTTTCAAATAAAATTATAATACAATGTACAATTTTTAGTTTGTGTGTTAGACGCCATAAAATACTGTTAATTATTATTCAAATTCAAGGAATAGTTATATATAGATATNTCATTGACCTGCGAGTCTGACTTTGACTATTGTTTCGGAGCTACTGATCGGCGACGATTATTCGGCCAATGTCTGCTTTTTATATTGTTGTTGTTTTGAGGACACTCAAACGAACTTTAGTCATTGCTATCTATACCGCTTGTTTTTAAAATTTACATAAAACGCAGGAAATTTAAACTATTTACACATTTAGTGCTGAACTCAACGTTACACACATCATACTCGTATTAAACTGAGCTGAACTTGACAACATATTCGTCTCAAATTCATCAGAGTGCTGTATCCAGTATCAAGAGGTGATTATTCAGTTTTTTAAACTCGCATTTTGTATCATACTTGCAGTATTATATTCATTAGAGTATCTCACTCACCATAAGCAATGTTACATTCAGTCTTTAACTTGTTCTCGATCTCGTTTAAAGCATTCATCTACAATTCATACAATTCGTTCACTTAAAAATAAAATTTAAAAAATAATTCGTACCTTGCCATTAGTAACTAACATGGCAGTTACAGGAGCAAGCTTAACAGTACGCCCGCGTCTCCAATTGTTATCTGTTGGCTGAGCAATTAAAAGTCGTCCTTCTAATACGAATTTTGCTTCTTCGTGGGCCCATTCTAATACTTCTACGGCCATCTATTATTTAATTGTTGCATTAATTTATATTTAACTCTTACATGACTGAAATTATATACATAAAATTTTAAAACAAATACATTACCTTCCTCAGTTTTATATTCACCATATCCTATTCACCGATGGGGCGTCTACCATTTTGAATAATTGAGATTCTTCTCCAAAGTTTCGTCGAGGTTACATCCTTTGCTTCCTGTTTACATTACATTATTAATATTATTCTATATATTCACGTACAAATTATTGGAATTCTTGTATGGACATTTGATCTAAACAATCATCCTCATAATCCAAAACAAGGCTATAAATTTTTATTTCTTTATTTCAATGTAAATTAAAACTTTTTCTTATCTTCAAATAAATAACAAATATTAAAACATTGTACGAGTTTAAAATTAAATTAATCAAATTAACTTCGAAACTCTATACAAATTCAGAGCAAAGTTAAATTACTGATATCAATTTTATTTCAAATTATACTTATTTGTATCTATGTAATTTTATCTATTTGAATTGTGTTTATAATATAGATTAATGATGTATTTACAGCATTCATATACTCTAAATGTAGTTCTACGGTAGCCTGTGCTTGTTTTAGTCTTTCCTTTGCTTCTTGAATATTTGATCGTACAGAAGACGTAGCTTTCAATAATCGAGCCAATAGAAGAGGATATTTGGTTACTCTTCGAACAGGAACCTGCGAAAAAATTATTTTTTAAATAATTTTATATAAGAAATTTCCTGAGTTTTCAACAGGAAAGTTAAAATTCAAGTTTTTAATATGAATAATTTAATTAAAAATAGTTTTGTAATATAAATAATTTATACTTACTTTTGCCCCTTACCATTAGGAAGGAATTCAAATTCATCTTACGTAAAACAGTATTTTCCATCTGTGAAACCTTTAAGAAAATTCGCAGTAACTGCAATAACAAGCTTGCACTTCCTTGCACTTCCTTGAACGGGTACAATAACTTTCAAATGCGTGTAACATCCGCTCAGATTCCAGAAAGATCTTTCCTAGATCAACCGTTAAAAGATC